AATACTTGGCACTAGCTTCGTCTTATTGTAGGTTTGATATCATTTTACCAGGGAAATGACTATGACTCTTTTGTTGAATGTATTAAAAGGTAGCCAACTGTGTGTTCATTTGTTTGAGGAACTTGCTAATCACTGCTGAAGATGAATAGACATTAACACAAACCACAAACACTCTCGAGCATGTACACAATCTCGTGTATGAAGTACTTATAATTTGGTCTAAATGTTAATGTCTTGATGATTGCCTCTCTTTTTTCCTTCTTGGCCTTACCAGAGTTTGGGTGCAGAGAAAGACGATCTAGACATAGTTCAGCACGGATGGGGCTTAGCCAAATTTGAGCAACGAGCAGAAACAGTGAACGCATCAGCTTTGGAATGATAACACTGTGGGGGAAATTTTTCCATTTCACCATTCATGGGGAAGTGAAAATTCTATACATATCAATATGGCGTTGAATGGGCCATCTGAGGAGTGGGACTACTTGGAATATCAGTAGAGTTAGTTCCAAACGCAAAAGCCAAATTTTGACTTTCCACGTGGCATGTTTCTACTTGTTCTTGCCACGGTTGACATCACGAATCCTTGGTGGGGTCCATTCTTATCGCCCAGCTGTCAATCAAACTTGGTCATAAATGCATACGATAATAAATAATTACGTTTCCATTATTTGATGGACATAAAGTAATCTTGGTTTTTTCTAAAGGGTTAATTTCACAAATGGTCATTGAAGTTACCTGAAAATTTCAAAACGGTCACTGAAGTTTCAAAGTTTCAGAAACGGTCACTGAAGTTTGAAATTTCTTTCAAAACGGTCACTGATTTTCAGATTTTTTGGGCAAGTTTGAGATAATTTTTCGACAACTTTCGACCATCAAAACGGCCAATTTCAGATACCGTTAGAAAGCCCACGATGTCCTCTTCAATTATCACCAAAAATCTCTCCATAATTCCAAGGTATTCGGCCGGAATAAACCCACGAATTCAGCTACCAAAAAAGTCCGAAAATCTGCCCAGTTTGGATAGCTGACTTCGTGGATTTATTCCGGCCAAATCACTTAGAGTTTTGGGGAGATTTTTTTATTGTAATTGAAGAGGACATTGTGGGCTTTCTAACGGTATCCGAAATCGAAGGTTTTGGTGGTCAGAAGTTGCCGAAAAATTGCATCAAACTTGCCCAAAAAATCTGAAAATTTGGGCAGATTTTCACAATTTTCGGTTGCCAACTTCGTGGCTTTATTCCGGCCTAATCACTTTGAGTTTTGGGGAGATATTTTTTATTAATTGAAGAGGACATCGTGGGCTTTCCAACGGTATCCTAAATCGGTTAGTTTGGTGGTCGGAAGTTGGCGAAAAAGTGCCTCAAACTTGGCCAAAAAATCTGAAAATTCAGTGACCGTTTTGAAAGAAATTTCAAACTGTAGTGATTGTTTCTGAAACTTTGAAACTTCAGTGACCGTTATGAACTTTTCAGGTAACTTCAGTGACCATTTGTGAAATTAACCCTTTTTCTAAAACAATAAAGCTAGTTGTGCAATAATTGATGACAATCTTGGTTGACAATCATGTGTTATCAAAATTCGGACCATTGATATAAAAAACAATTTTTTAACAGTTTCTAAAATGGATGGACGTGATAGTGTCAAGTGTGTAGTTGTCAATCAATGTTGTCAATAAAGGTAGTATATGCAGCATGATTCTTGATATAATTTAAATTAGAATTTATATTTTCGGAGTTTCTGCATTATGAGTAAATAAATGATATTCTATTGATTTACCAAAATAGTTTCAATATCGACCACACTGGCAGCATGACTTTATTTTCTTATTTATGTGAATGGGTTAACTATGTTCTCCATCTATTTTCACAATCATTTTAATTTTCCTAGTTTGGTGCAATCAAACCTTGATTCTTATATTACTTTTATGTTTTTTAATAAAATAATAAGTATTTTTTTTTCACCAACTAGCTATCGCTATGTCTCCAACTGCAATCATTAATGCTATTCAAACAGGGCTGCAAACAAGGAATTAAAATAGGGTTGAGGTTGATGCACATCAGCCCTTAATTTGAATTACCTCAGCCCTTGTTTTAATTCACTATCCCCAGCCCTGTTTAAGTAGCAAAGTTCAATTGCAATAGGCGTTGCAAACTACCATTGCGTCGTCAACACTATAGTGCTGCCAACTGCCATTACAAGTTAAAAATCTTGATTGTCACTGGCTTCATTAATCTTCATGTCATTGGTAAAAAAAAAATTATTCAGTTTCAAGAAAAAATAAATAAATGAATAAAAAATGAAAGATACATTTGTAGACATACGTCTACATAATAATTTTTTTTTCACCAACTAGCTATCACTATGTCTCCAACTGCAATCATTAATGCTATTCAAACAGGGAATTAAAATAGGGTTGAGGTTGATGCACATCAACCCTTGATTTGAATTACCTCGACCCTTGTTTTAATTCACTGTCCCCAACTCTGTTTGAGTAGCAGAGTTCAACTACAATAGGCGTTGTAGACTACCATAGCGTCGTCAACACTATAGCACTTCCAACTGCCATTACAGGTTAAAAATCCTGATTGTCACTGGCTTCATTAATCGTTGTGTCATTGGTTAAAAAAAAAAATTGTTCAGTTTCAAGAAAAAAAAAGAATAAAAAATGAAAGATACATTTGTAGACATACGACTACATAATAAGTTTTTATTTTCACCAACTAGCTATCACTATGTCTCCAATTGCAATCATTAATGCTATTCAAACAGGGCTGCAAACAGGGAATTAAAATAGGGTTGAGGTTTATGCACATCAGCCATTGATTTGAATTACCTCAACCCTTGTTTTAATTCACTATCCCAAGCTGTTCGAGTAGCTGAGTTTAACTGCAACAGGCGTTGCAGACTACTATAGTGTCGTCAACACTATAGCACTTCCAATTGCCATTACAAGTTAAAATCCTGATTGTCACTGACTTCATTAATCGTTGTGTCATTGGTCAAAAAAAAATGTTCAATTTCAAGAAAAAATAAATAAATGAATAAAAATTGAAAGATACATTTGTAGACATACGTCTACGCCAACATCATCTTTGGATCTCCCAACAAAATGTTGAAATTTCTTAAAAACATAATGTAATGCTAATATTCATGCAAAAAGCAATTCTTTTTTTAAAACTAATATTATTTAAGTACAATTATTTTGAAATCGGTGATAACACTTCACATTATGATCAGAGATTCTGTACTGATGACTGTAATCCAGCATGGTATATACGAATGTGGGTCCCATGACACGGTGTACTAATGGAAAAGCATCTAACTGGGGACCCGCATTGGTGCAATCTAGAGGGGTCCCACCTATATCACCGGCCTTGATTTCGCCCTTTTGTTTTGTTATAGGTTGCTTTATTCGCATCAAGTGGGTTTTTTCAAAGGGATAAACATTCTGATTTTGACCTGATTAGTGCTTCTTAATTAAAGTTTTATCACCCTATCATTCATTGGAGACTACTTCGTATGAAGGTTTACAATTAGAGACCTACATGCTTGAAAAGATCATGAGAGATATACATCAATTCGTCATGATTAAAGTTAGAAAGAGTTTCGACAATCTTAGATGACTTCTTCTGATCAAAATCGATTCTCAAAAGGATAATAATAATTGATTACTTGCACTATTACTGCATTATACAATTTTAGACTTAGCTCGAGCCTGCTGTCATGTTAGGATTTGGCGAAGATGTGACGATTGATTTTTCCATGGTGCTCACTTGTTTAGTCATATCAGGTTAACAAGTTGTAGCACGGTGTGATGTAAATATGCGTGTAACATCATGTGTTATTTGAAAGAGCCATGCTACTCAAACGGATAAAATTGATAGAAAAATGGTGACAGACACACTGGCAGGAATTCATTGGAAGGTGGAAAACTTTTTTAAAAAACCGAACGAATCACAATCTACCACGTCAGTCTGTTTCCAAATCATGTCAATTTTTTTTGTTTTAGTAGCTTTAACATATTTGAAAAGAATAGATTAATGTAATTTAGTCTTTAAAGAAATACTGAAAAATTAAATACAACGGTACTAGGGTTTTTGCCTCTTGTAGAAGAATTTTTTGAAGAAGTTATTTTATCTTTTTTAGTTGAACAAAATACTTTCAGAAAATTATCAAAATATATTCAAAAGCAACTTCTTAAAACAATTTTAAAATTTCGAAATTTCTGTCAAACGAATTCATATAGAAATCTAAGGAACATGAAAGCATGATGATATCAGTCACCTACAAACCCTACTGCACAAAGCACAGAATAAGCCAATCAAGAAAATATACAATAGCCATGTGAAATGCCTCCACCCATGTGCCATTTCACATTCATAAAGCCTTGTTCAAGAAATCTCATAGGGAAAATAAAAACATTTACAACTAGACATGTTAGTATCATTTACATGGATCATGTTCCAAAAAAATAAATAGTACCGAATCATATTACAATTTTATCGAGTATTTTGTATCACTCATGCACGGAGAGAAATGAGAGATCGTATTACTATTCAACACATGTACCATGTCATGTCGAAGAATTAGACGGTAGTGTACTAATGAACACTATCAAATAGTGCGAGAAGTCGAATTGCTAAGATCCATGTTTTAGCAATCATGATACATGTACATCATTTCTCACACTATCTTTTACATCCTAGCATGTGGTAATACATTATTGAACAGTTTGAAATTTGGACAGTTTTTTCATCTAATCATTTGCGAACAACAATGATAATGTCAACCAAGGTGTAAAAAAATGAGCGTACAAGTGCATTATCCTTCAGTAGTGCTCCAAACAGTACCTCCTTCCCATTATTTAATAAATTATTTAACCTCTCTATAAATAGCTCTCAAATTGATCGTTTCTCATCATCACACCCACAAGCAATACTTTCTCTTTACAAATTTATCATTTCTCATTATCTTTTCCTGTGATCTTCAAATTTTGAGAGATGGCCGCAGTTGAGGTATCAATATACTTCTCTTTTAACTCTCTAATTAATTTCATTTGCATCAATCTTTCCTCGGATTTTCTGCTAATGATGCCACGAATTTTAGTGGTTAAATTTGATGTGTTATAAAAGATATTTAACTTCCATGCAATGATCTTTCCTTTTTCTTTCGATCGTTTGATCTTTATATTCCTCACACTTCATGCATTAAGATTGAAAGTTTATACCTATAGGTTGAATCAGTTCCTGCAGCAATAGTAGAAAATGTTAAAACCGAGAAGGTAATCTCCACCCCTGAGGCTCCAAAAGAAGAGGTGGTGACAGTCACGGAGGAAGTAAAAGAAGGGGCTAAAGATGCTGCACCAGAAGAGAACGCAGTAGAACCTGATCCTGAAGCTGAGAAAGCTGTTGAAGCTCAGAAAGAGACAGTAGTTCCAGTAGAAGAGTCCGTTGAGGAGGCTGCAGTGGTTGCACCAGAAGAACCTGCTGCCGTGGTTGCACCAGAAGAGCCTGCTGCAGTGGTTGCAAAAGAAGAGCCTGTAGCAGAGAAAGCCGAAAAAGAAGAAGTTGAAGAGGTGAAGAAAGAGGCTGCAGTTGAGGAGACTAAAGAAGAAGAATTTAAAGAGGTGAAGAAAGAGGCTGAAGTTGAGGAGGCTAAAGAAGAAACCCCTGGAGTGGTGGAGGCGGCTGCCATAGAAGTTGCAGTTGATAAGACTGAGGAGTGAACAGTAGATGATATGAAGTGAAATGGTGCATTATTTGGGGTCATTTTAGGCTGCAATGCCACAGTTGTTAAAGTTATCATTATGAAAGTGTTCTCAATAGCCGAGTGTCTTTGGGTACTAAAGTTGGCTGCTATCTTATGATGGAATGGAATGTGATCTTTGGATTTGAATAATAATAATAATGGAATTTCTTCTGTTAATTTATATTTTCAGTATTGATACAAGTAACAACTATGTACAACTCATACGCATCAACTTTATTAAGATACGCACACTAAGAACATGAAAGTTTGACCAACCTTATAACAATCAGAAACCTGAATAAGCCTATACCCTACTTATAAATTACTGAGAGAAACGTGCATTTTGAGCTAGTATGGTTTGATACATTCAACTCGACTACATCCGACCATATTACACGTCTTTTTTTATTCTCTTTAGAGCCCCAAATGTGTCAAAATACCCCCATGGCCCATGCTACAAAGCCCCAAAATGATTGGGCTTGCATTAATTACAAGGCTCAAGACCAAAAAGAAGGAAGCCGAAATATGCACAGATAAATTTCATCCTTCTATCCATTATTTATCATATATATTAAACCTATTTTGAGAGTTGACAAAAATGGAAATTGAAAATTACAATCTTTAAACCTGAAAACACAACGGGAACATCTCCTGCTTACATAGTCAAAGACCAAAATAGATAAGATTATCCTACTACTATGTACAAGTTACCACAAATCTGTTATGTGCAATTGAAAGCTCTGTCCCAAAGCTAGCTGAAATATCACCAAGTACCAAAGCTGCAACCTACATGCTCCTGAGTTATGATACGAAGACGATCTCTCATGTCAGCAATATTAGGATAAGCCGGAAAACACAACCGGTAGAAGCATGTGTGAGAGGAAGGCAAGCGATCATAGGACTCTGACGTCTTGTAGATGTATAGCCGGGAAGCCAAGCCACCAAAACCTTCAACAGGTAAATATTTTATAGAGGTCCAAAAGAAGAGGAGAACCTTTTTTTGCTCTGCTGTCATTAGCCCAACAATCTGAAAAGGAGAATTTCAGTTACATTGTAAAGTATGGGGTTAAATACATTGTTGGCCACTCTACTTCTAACAAAATTCCATGTTGCTCACCAAACTTAATTTTGTTTCAAGTTGGTCATTGAACTTGAACTTTGTTACAATTCGATAACTCCATACATTAAAGAAGTGGAAAATATCAATTAAGCTGCCAACTATACTGCCGCATCAGTACCAAATAACAAAACATATAATTTTAATGACTAACTTGAAAGAAAACGAAAGTGAGCATCGTGAAATTTCACTCAAACTTTAGCAACCACTACTGTTATTAACCTGAAGTATCAGTCAGCAATTGATTTATAAAACTACACTATCTTTACAATTCCAGGGGAGACACACACTACCGCTCTTGATAATAATCAACAAAATACATGTCCAACAAATGTGAATTGACCGTCTAGTTGTATCTTTTTGCAGAAGAATTACAGAAACTACAAACTCAGAAACGAGAATGAACTTTTTACTCATGGAGCAGACCTTACCATATAAAATAAAGACGTTTCATTTAAACCCATTTTTATCAATTATCATGGCATACTATCAAATGTGCATGAACTCCATTAGTCCACCTATAATAAGCCACTAAGGGAACTGTATCACAATTGTTAGCAAACAACTTGATTGATTAAAATGTACCTTCAGCTAGCAAGACAATCTTCGAGAAAACAAACTTACAACAATAAGCACACAAATCTTCAGAATGATTATTGTAATCTCACTATGGATTTAAGCAATTTGTAGTTCTAAAAATGTAAAGACAGAAATCCCAGTACAAAATTGAAGAAAAAATACAATAAATAATGTATTATAGCATTGAACACGACATAACAACAGGCTCAAGGCTTTAAGATTAGACTAAGATATGATTTTGGAAGTTGACAATATAAACACTGATACACTGGTAGTTCATTAATTTACGGTGAGAAAGAGTGAAATAGACCAGTTAAAATTCCCCAAGATCATTCACGAAAAGAAGTGATTTCATCACGCGAAACAAAATATTTGAAATACAAGTGCCTTAGAAATAAATTTTCTTTTTAAGTGTGAAAAAGAGGGAAATAGACCAGTTAAAATTCCCCAAGATCATTCAAGAAAAGAAGTTAAAATTTTCTTACGGTGAGAAAGAGGGAAATTGACCAGTTAAAATTCCCCAAGATCATTCGCGAAAAGAAGTGATATTAATAACATGAAACAAAATATTTGAAATACAAGTGCCTTAGAAATAAATTTTCTCAAGTGTGAGAAAAATATGCCAATGCAAATTGACTTCTCAGACACTGTTTGTGAGGATGTTTCTACTAATATGATAAAGTATTAAGGCACATTCTAGCATGTATATGAATGGTCATAAAGAGGTGTGTGATTGATTTAACATAATACGTCCAAATAAATAATTCTGCATCCTCATATGTTAATACAATATTGTGCATTAGAGCTACATATTCTCCTAATTGCAACAAACTTTCACATAGTTGTATGGACGCATTTTCTGTGGTCTACGTGAAACAAAAAAATACATTTACTTGGTGATGTATTTTTAACAACAAACCCTTTTGATAGGTATTTTTAACAACAAACTAAACCTTGTTCCCAATGAATTTGGGGTTATCCATGTGATTCATTTTTTTGCCCCTCTATTCAGTCCATTAGTAGATTGCTGGAAAATCAAAGCATCTAATTCCTTAGCAACCACAACATGCCATGCTAGTTTTGGCCCACTAATTTAAACAAATTTTACTGGAGATGCATCACCCCTAAGAATACGCAAAACATGTCCTAACCAACTGCATTGTCATTTCCTTAGTTTATGCTCAATTAGTGCCCCATCCACTTGTATTTCTTGTCTTATTATATGCCCACCACACATCCAATTTCAAAATCCTCATTTCTGCTATATTCATCTTATGGGAGACATCTTTGTCCTTTAAAGCCCAAGAATCCTCATTAGAATAGAGCATAGAAGGCCTTTTAACCTTAAAGAATCTTATCGGATATAGCTCCTGTAGCACTTTTCCATTTCATCCAACCCCACTCTGATTCTTTACATACATTGCATCCTCTACAATTCCTCCTTCTAATAATTAAATCTAAATACCTAGAACAATCACTTTTTAGACAACACAATCATCTATAGTAACTTCAATATTCTACTCGTAAACTAAAATATATCCTCAGTGTTTAACTTACACCAAGGATCCCATCTTGTACACATCCTATAAGGATGTTCATGACTAAGGAGAAAAGATGAAGACTTAAGACAGAACCTTGGTGCAAACCTATATGATAGAGAATGCTCTACTATTACACCACTACATCTCGTGCTCATGAGTGCCTCATTAAATCCGTAATAAAATTCGTGTATATAATGGAAATTCATTTTCTCTCTCGCACCCAGCACAGCACTTCCCTGAGCATTTCTTGAAATGAGATGTACTAAATAAAGGTAGGTTCTAAATTTAGGGAGTCAAACGTGTAAAAGCCTATTTCCTTCAAACAATAGATTGAGGCCAAAAGTCTCTTACGTCAAGATGTTGGACACAAAAAAATAGTTGAGTTTAGCTAAACATTGTTAACTTTCCTAAATATTAGAAGTTCTAAGAACCTTCCTTTTGATGTTCTATTTTTGGACGTTGCAAAAATTTTTGTCATCTCTCTCTTTTTTGCTGTAATTAGTGGTTGTTTTCATTTTCCACTGAACTTTTACGCTTGGATTTGTATTCTGGGAGTGTGTGGGAGGTGCGAGGAGCAGACATATAAATACATTTGGATAGGGAAGACCAAAAAATGTTCCGCAGACGTACCTTCCAAAACCAGGATATCTGCAAGTCAGTTTCTTTGTAGCCATGATATTCTGTATGCGCTTTCCAATCTTCCACAGAAATTTCACTTTCGCTTCCATGCAGCATCAAGTCAAGGTCTTCAGGGTTTAAACTTCGGAAAAAGGATCTCTGTAGCTGTGGGCTACTTATAATGTCAGCAAAACCTTGAGCAAAATTGGTGACCTGGTCAGCAATGGACGTGACAAAATAATGCTGAATAAGAGAATCAACATACTCGTTCCTATTTTTACTGTTTACAACGATGCTGGTCCCATCAGGGCAAAGCTCAATAACTTTCCTTGATCCTAACTGTTCAACCTCATGAGAAAAGGTGAGACCCAGGGCATCTTGGTCAACTGCCACAGGATCCATCTCCAATATTTGCTTGCAGCTACTATACAGGCAAGGATCTGCATCCCGAATATCTTCTAAAGAAATATCATGCCCAGCCAATTGCAGAAAGAACACACGATCAAAGACAATGCCAACTTGTATTTTATGCATCAAGGCTAAGGCAATCACCCTGCCAGAGAAGTTAAAATATTCAAGGTGCAAAGGATCCACCTTAGATGCTGCAAATAGACAAAATTAACAAACAGAGAATCATTTGTCTTGTTATTAGTGTACAAAACAGAATCGTGTGCCTTGTTATAATTTTAAGTTCCTCTTACAATGATAAAGACTGAAAGAGAACTATCATCAACATCATATTAGAAGAAACATCAGACATTACACACTCGGTGAATAAAATCGTGTTCAGTCAACGACAGTCAATTGTCAGAAGTAACAAAGAAGTTGTAAGGTAGCTTCACTCTAGATTCTAAAATTCCCGTGTATATACCTTTGTAGCGCTAATCTTTTTCTATAATGTTTTGTCAAATGAACTATGACCATTGTTGGTAATTCCCACCAAACAGGAAAAGACAAGTCCTTAACCATAATAACAGCGGGAAAGTGTGGTGCATCTGCTTCGCACACCACTTCACAACACCCATCATCAGAAGTTACTTGCAACTTCCAGCATATGAGAAAAGATAAGACAAAAGGCACTAGGCAAGAAAATTGATCTTCATCTTTTTTAAAGCTTTTATAAGAAAGGGCGTGTCATTATAAGTAAAAAATCCACATGTCATTTAAATAGCACCTACAGGGAAACAAGGGGAAAAGAAATTAAAGAAGTGAGCTTGTATGGTATTGCTTTCAAGTACTTATAAGTAGCAAGTCTTATGAAATGTGTAGCTGATAAGTGGGTAGTAAGTTGTGGATTCTACAAATCTGTAAATAAAAAGTATATTTCACTAGATTAAATTAAAATTCAAGCAATGCCAAACATGCACTAAATGTAATGCTCGTTTGGGGAATTCTTTCATCAGAAGCAAATTAAAAAAGAGCAACGTGCATTTATTTGCAAATAGACACATTACAGGAAAGTATGTATGCTTAGTTGCCTCCAAACCTTATTCTCTAAGGCCACAGATAGAAAAAGGGTTCCAGGAAACTGTGCAATTTTTTTTTTCTCAGAAAGTTTTTTTTTTCTTCAATTTTTTATTTTATTTTTTATTTATTTTTTTTGAGGAGGGGCAGCAGATGGGCAATATAATAGCAGGTGAAAACAGCAATGCCACGAAAACAGGCATGGGAAAGTCCAACCTAAAGATCAAAATTAAATTTTTTTTATCACACTATACTTTACACAAAAAACTAGTGACACAGACAACCAATATGGCAACCAATTGTGATTTTGATCACACATGGATCCCCTGGGAGATATAGAGACCTCAACAGGGAGATATAAGATGATTTTGTACAGGCATAATATGACAATGATATTACATAGTAATACTTAATACATTCTGCCTCCAATGCACTGACACCTATACTAAGAGCCTTCAAAAAATTAGCCAGCAGTGACAAGCAACTGGGCTAGTGGCAATAACATCTTTACAGTGGGATAGAACAAAGATCTACAACCCATTTGTAGAAACCTCCACCTATTCAATCTACCATTAGCGCTACACCAACCCACGTCCACAGAAAAAAAAAAAACAAAAATTGGAATAAACAAGAATTATAGGGGAAAGGGAAAAATAATCAAGCTCAAAAGTTATGTTCAATAATTTTTGTTCACCATCCCCCCTCCAACTTATTCACTCTATGGTACTAAGAAAACTACCTTTCCTGATGTATGATCAATATTATCAAGAACCTACCATTACATGGTTGAAGATTGACATCCATCAATTCTTATTCATGTCATGGTTATAAGATCTCACTTACCTGTATACTGGCTAGTTATATACGAAGACTAGTCTTTTCATGTTCACAAGTTCTTTGTTCTTTTCAATGCACAGTTACTAATCATTGGTGCTTCAAGTGCTATACTCAATATCCAAAAAACAATTTGAAAATTCAACTGAAATTATTTGTCCAATTTTTAAATTGGACAACCGTCATGACAGGGTGTGTTCATAAAAATGAAATCTTTATGTACCATTGCTATATATTTCCATTCTTAGAGTGAGATTAAGCAAATGAAGTATAGCATCGTTTTATTACTTCTCTGCAGAAACGAGTACACAGTGCATTAGGTGAACATCAAAATTATAAACCTGTAATAGAGGGGTAAACTAGAGTTGCTACCTTGAATCATTACTCCTATGAGTCTATGAATAACTGAAGTTATATATTCTTCAAGCTACTTGTCATCCCCTCATGCATAGTATTTGGGATGTGATAGGCATACATGATACCACTTGCAAAATAACAGAAGCTAACAAAAAGCACAATGTGCTGCAACCGAGAGTATAGCATGAATCTTCAAACAAGGATGCTTTAGCTAATAATTTTTTCAGAATGTGTGCATGAAAGATGAGGAAACCTAACCTGGATTTGGAAAAAACCTTCTGCGATCATTAGGGCAAGCCAAGAAGAGTGCATTTTGAGGGTTGAAGATTGCTTGACATACCAAGAAGAACCACTCCCTCAAGACACCAGGGCCTGTTGCCTCCTCATTCTTGAACTCCATAAATAAGCCAGCACGCAGTGAGTCCAGTTCCGCATGTGCAATGTACTCGAATGATTCTGCCAACAAATGTGAGCGGTCAATGAGCATCTCGTGCTGCTCATCGTACTCATCCTTCACTTCAGGGAGTATCATCATGGCTAAATGCTTCCTCGCCTCAAAATTAGTCACTTCCTTGTGCTCAAGAATCCACTGGTGCTCGTCGCTCCTCTTCGCAAATCTAACAATAAGATAACACAAGGCATCCTTTTTCTCTCTCATTTTCTCCCAAAAAACCTCTTCTGCACCGTTATAAAGTTTAGATATACTATTCAGTTCCTTCAAGATTGCAAGATACTGGCACCATCCGAAGAAAAGTGTCTGACTATCCGATTTCGCTCTCATATCTACCTGGTCCTGAATTTTCCCCAAACACTCCTCCAATTTCCCCAATAAATCAATAAAAATCTCGTGCAAAAATATGATTTCCTTCCCATAACATACCCAACTTTGCTCGCTCAAGGGAAACTTAACAGGGCCGCAAAAAGTGATTTCTAGCATGATCTTGTTTCTCACTGGGACAACAAAGGCCGTGAAATCTCGGACATCGCTCAACAGGGGCCCTACGAATGAGCTCGACTCCATACTCAGCACTAAATCTTGCGATAACTTGGCTGCTAATTGACTAACAAATGGAAAAATATCATGAACCCCAATCGGCTCCTTCTTCACCCCAACCTCAAGAAACTCCACCATTGCCCCCATAGTACTTCGACACACATTATACAAGGGATCATCAGTCCCAGCTGCCCTACTCAACAACTTACAAAATTCTAAAACAATCGGTGCACACTGACAATACATATGCTTAGGCAAAACATTCTTACTTGATTCAATGAACTGTTTGATGGCTTCATTAGCAGCATCCCTGTTCGGTTTATGAGATGACATGTAAAGCATCACCAGGGCCGCAGGGGCAGAGGAAGAGAGGAAAACCTGCAAATGCCCAGACGCCTTGTGAGAGTTGGTGCGCGGGGTCCTGGACAGAAAATCAGCAAGCAATGATTTGACAGTTTTTGGAGGAGGCAGTTCGGGCAGCGGAGGAGGCGGTGCGTCTTTGCAAAGCTGGAAAATTAAGAAAATAATGTCGTTGACGAGCTGCCACGCCTGAGGATGCTCGGTGCTCCGCATTCGTCCAACCAGCTGCAATCCTGCGTCGTTTTGGATCTTGCATTCTGCCAGAGTCTGTTCCCACTGCAATTGCTTACCCCGGTATATCAATCGCTGCTCGAATACAGGAATTCCAGTAATAGACTCTATTTGTTCGTGAATATCCTTAATCGTAGTGGAGCAATCGGTTTTGAGAACAAGGGTATGGTCAGATAAAATACGGACAAAAAATTGAATGCTATTGACAGAGCAAGTTGACTCCGTGAGTGATGATCGCTGGTGCCGGGACAAGGGAGGTGGAGAAGGTGGAAGGGCAGTTTGGTCTTTTCGCATCCTAGCGGCGGCGGGCGGCGTATTCATGTCGATGATGAAGGAATCGTCGGCATAGTAATCATCGAGCTTCCTTTTGGAAAGAGATGACGACATCTGGGGGAGTGAAACGGAAGTTTTACGATGGGCCTGAGCCCATGGAATCAAAACCCCCCAAAAACCCTTTTACTGTGTGCGTTTTCAGAGTACGAAAATTAGGGAAGAAGACTCGAAACTGATTGTGTGCGGGTGTGCAGAAAATATGGGTGGAATTACGAAAGAATACGTATATATACTCCCGTGGATGCTTTTAATGGGCTTTCTCTTTTTCTTTTTTAATTAAAGATTTATTCAAATCCCAATACAGAATATCATATTAGGAATATTTTTTTTTAATTATGCTTCTTGTATATTCTCCCTTGACGTTAAGATTAACATTTTATTTGTGTCGAAAATTTAATCAAAAAAGTGTCGTTAATATCAGTGTTCTAAAAGGCGTGATGCGTGGAGGCCAAGCACATGACTAGACGAGGTTAGGCGAGGCATATATGTAAAAAAGCGTAGAAATGCGTTTTCTTATTTTAATATTATTTTAATTTTTAATCAATTAAAAATAATACTTACTAAACATTTTTTCGAAATTTCCAACAAAAATATAAGTTTCAAATTTAAATACAAAATAGTAGGTAAATAGCATATGAACTTAAATTTTATCTAACTCTTTATCGGACTCCAATTCAATAACATCTTCTTCATTTAGTTCATATTTAATAATTTTTAACTTCAAAATAATTGTAAAAAAAAAAAAAAACACGCCTAGGCGCAATTATTAGCGGTCAACAACTGTCATTGACCGCCAAATAAGACACTAACCCATTAGACTTGGCGTTTTGACCTCGTCTAGACGCGCCTTTTAGAACACTAGTTAATATCAATGTTTAAAAATATGTCAACTCAAACTTGATGTACTTACAATATGATTGTTTGTGTCTATGTGTGTGTGTGTTTTTTTTTATGTAGAGAATAAAGACAATAAAAAAGCATAATTAAAAATAGAGATAACAATTCTAAATTCGGTATTTTAAATTTGCTTAGAAGATTAACACAAAAAAAGATGCCCGGATAAGGGTCAAAAGTCAAATTCTCTTATAAAAATTAATTTTATCAATCAAATCCGTCCGATTCACTTGATTTTGCAGGTGAAAACACTAGTTTTGTATTTTAATAAAGGTTTTTATCTATTAAACTATTTTTGCATATAACTCGATTGAATGTGAATTAGTACTGATTGTGTCCTGTATAACATTAGTTAAAGGTTAAATAGCGCAAAACCCTCCTACATATTGGACATATTGCCGAAAACCCTCCATACTTTTTAAAAATAGCACAAAACGTCTATATTCGAAACTTTTAGTGCGGAATACTCCCTCCGTCAATTTTCTCAATAAAAAATTGTAAAACAACAAGTATAACATTTCATTTAAATAAAAGAAGGAAAAAAATTAAAAATTAATTTCAACTGTAGCCCTAAATATTTTTAAAAAGTACGAAGGAGTCCAAATGAATTGGGGATAACTCTTTTTCTTCCCTAACCCACCTGCACTCCATCCCACTCCCCCACCCCCCAAATAAGGGTGGACAAAACCCAAACCAACCCACCAAAACCACCAAACTCGACCCAAATCGATCAGTTTGGGTCGATTTTTTGTGATTTTTCAGCTGGATTCGAGTCTTGGGTTAAGAAGCGGGTTGGTTCATGGGTTGACTCATGAAAATCGAGTTAACCCGACCCGCTTAATTTAAAAAAATTAAAAAATAGTGAGGCCCACACAGAACACAAAACTCAACCCTAACTTTATTCTTCCAAGTTCCAACTCTCTCTCTCTCCCTCCGCCTCTCACCAATCGTTAAGAATAAGCAATATGAGGGAGAGAGCGGAAGAAGAAGAACAAGGATTCAGTGAAATAGATGAAGGGGATAAAAATAATAGATTGGAGATAGAAAAGGTGTTCAAGGATGTAGAGGTTCTGCCATGGCATAAGCAGATAACAATGAGAGCTGCTTTTACGAGTATTATTTTGAGTTTTGTTTTCAATATTATTGTATGCAAACTCAATCTCACCACGCAGTGATTCCTTCGCTTAATGTGGCAGCGGCCTCCTCGAATTCGCCATTGTTAAGGCATGGAAGCATGTACTCAAAAAGTGCGGTATGTTGAAGCCGATGCTCGAAAAGTGCGGTATGTTCAAACATGTGTTGTTGCCTCTTCTGGGATTGCTTTTAGCAGTAAGTAGTTATTTTATTTTCAAAATATTTCTTTGCTTAATTAATGTTTTACGTCTGGTTTGGTTTCAATTTTGTAATGCATATATGTTATCACTACCTTTGATTATGTTATGTAGCCTAGACGATTAATGTTTACCTAATTAACAATTAATACTTGGTTTGTTTCTATATGGTTGAATCAGATTTGATGAATTGGTGTCATTCGTGACTGAGACTGCATTTTTTTAGCTTATTGAGAGGTCGAGAATAGCGGGTGAGCTTGAAAAGTGAAGATGTGAGTGAATATTGACGATTAAATGATATGGAGAGCTTCAAGTAGTGAAAATTTTTTTGACTTTAATATTTGTTGACATATCTTTCTATATATAAAAAGTGCATATTTAACGGAATTTCTTGGTTTAACGGAAAAACTAATGGAATTTGTTGTTTTAACGGATTATGTAACGAAATTTCTTGTTTTAAACAGGTAGCTGCACCTTCTGTTAGTGTTTTTATCATAACTTTGTATTTCGATATTCGATTGAGGCGATTCAAAATGCGTTGGAAAGCTAACCCATCTAGCTACAACTTTGATTTAGACATCATATTCCAATTCGATCACTTTCTATGCCAAAAATATGTCTCAATATAACGGACTATGTAACGGAATTTTTTGTTTTAAACAAGTAGCTGCATCTTCTTTCAGTTTTTTTATCATAACTTTGTATTTCGATGTCTGATTGAGGCGATTCAAAATGCCTTAGAAAGCTAACTCATCTGGCTATAACCTTCATTCAGACATCATTCTCCAATTGGATAACTTTTTATGTCAAAAATAGGTCTCAATATAACAGACTATGTAACGAAATTTCTTGTTTTAAACAAGCAGCTGCACCTTCTTTCAATGTTTTTATTATAACTTTGTATTCTGATATCCGATTGAGGCGATTCAAAATGAGTTGGAAAGCTAACTCATCTGGTTACAATTTTGATTCAGACATCATTCTCCAATTCGATCACTTTCTATGCCAAAAATATGTCTCAATATAACGGACTATGTAAC